GCGACCTGCAAGTAAAACTGCACTCTCAAGAAGGCCCTGTGCACAGCTCCAGGGCGACCTGCAAGTAAAACTGCACTCTCAAGAAGGCCCTGTGCGTCAGGAGCGCGTGTCTGGGTGGCTGGCAGGGAGGAAGTGGTTTCGACTCCGCTTCTAGGTACAGCAGCGGAGCTCAGGGTCTGGAGTCCCACAAGCTTTTTTCTTCTGAAAAACGGGCATTAGAGACGATGCTGAGCTGCAGGGCTTTAAGATGACGGTAACTGTCACAATGTTTAATAAACTGTAAGAGGTGTCAAAGAGAACCATCTCTTTTAGGATGCCAGGGTGCGCAGCTCGTCGCCAGGACAGCGGAGGCGTGTGTGAGAGAGAGACGTCCTGGGGCGGGGAGAGGGCGGAGCCGGGGCGGGAGTGAGGTCGGGGCTCCGTCTACGGCGGCGGCGCAGCACTGCCCAGGACCGGCGCACGGCATGGGGCTGCCCCGAGGCGCCAGGCCGCTTCTCCCGCTGCTGCTCCCGCTGCTGCTCGCGCCGCGGAGCTCAGGCGCCGGGCCGGGCCGGCCTCCGCACCTGGTCTTCGTACTGGCCGATGACCTTGGCTGGAACGACGTGGGTTTCCACGGCTCACGCCTCCGCACGCCGCACCTGGACGCGCTAGCGGCCGGGGGAGTACAGCTGGACAACTACTACACGCAGCCGCTGTGCACGCCGTCGCGGAGCCAGCTGCTCACCGGTCGCTATCAGGTGCGCCGTCCGCCGGTCTCTGCGCACGCGTCGCCCGGTCCTCCACTCTATCGCGGCTGCGCAATTTGCGGGACACGCAGGCGCAGAAGGAGGGGTCGGGGTCAGGCCCGGGGCATTAGGATCGGAGGCGCTGCTGGGCACGTTTGTTACCCCGGTTCCGCCCGCCGCTAGAGTCAGCCAGGCCGACTTCCTGTCAGGGTTGAGCTCGTGCTGACCCCCTCTAGCATCTTCATGATCGCTTTAAAGGCTTCCTTTTACAAACCTCGCTGTTAGGAGAGGAAATACGCAGTAGAGAGCGAGCATATTTAGATGACTAGGAATGGCCAAAACAGCTCTCTAGGATTTTTTTTTTTTTTAAACCTGGATTTGGCCGGGCGTGGTGGCGCACGCCTATAATCCTGACACTTAGGAGGCAGAGGCAGGAGGATTGCCGCCGAGTTCGAGGCCAGGCTGGGCTACATAGTGAGAGGGCAGCCTGAACTACATAGCGAGACGCTGTCTCAAAAAACCCAAACCAAATCAAACAAAAACTCCTTACTGGAGCTTGAACCCAAAGGTTCTCTACCACTGAGCCTTATCTCTAGGGCCCCCTACTTTCTTTAAAATTTTTAAAAGTTTCGAGACGAGGTCTTGTTGAGTTGCCCAGGCTGGCCTTGAGTTTGCAGTCTTGCCTCAGCCTCCGAAATGCTGGGATTATAGACATGTTCCAGCTAAAGTAGTTATCTTTAATTTGAGACAATAGCCTGGGTAAATAGGATGACGTGAAAAAGCGTGGCTAGAAGGTGGTAATGCTGATTCTGACGATTTTCCTGTATCTACTAGGTATATCAGGCTTATAAAATTGGACTCTTCCTTCAACCTGAGCAAGATTGCCCAGTTTATAAGATGCAGCTCTGATTATGACCTTATTAAATACAATCATTTGTGCTGCTACTGTTGATATTCTCTGTGTGTCTCTGTGTATGTCTGTATATTGTTTATTCTGTAAACATTTCAAGCTTACTGTGCCAGTCAGGGATACCCTTGAAGCCTGCCTTCCCTGGTATGTGTTTATGTAGCCTTTCAAATCAACCTTAGCCTCCTGTCTGAAGACTTCATAAAGAGGAAAGAGAATTTTGCTGAGACTGAGAAACAGCTGTAGCCAAGGCTTGCAGTGGAGATGAAGCCTATCAGTGATGTCCATTTCCTGCCTTCCCACCACAATCCTGACTCTAATGCACATCCTATGCTGGACACTGCAGAAGTAGAGGCTGTGCCAGTAACACAGGAACTAAAGGGAAGGGAGGTATGTCCCGGGGGTCTGTGTTTGCTACGGTGTTAAAGAGAACTGAACTCACCTTGCAAAAGAATGGAAGGGCAATTCATTTCTCTAACTTCCTCTCTTCCAACAGACCTGAACAGGAAAGCACATACTACTCTTCAACAACTTGTTCATAGAATTGGCACCAGTAACCAACAGTCAGGCTTGGAGAGGTCCTTGAGTATTTATTTAGAAGACCCTGTGGGTAAGAACTGAAGAAGGGTTGACACTAGGTGCCCCAGAACCATTAGAGACCCCACAGTGTAGCAGACTTAGGCCAGGCTGGCCTGTCCCTTCTTTTCTTGTTTTCACCCGTATTGTTCTGTCAAAATTTGTGAGACCCAATTAGAAATTACCTGGTTTGGCAAGGAGCCTCTTGTAAAGGATTATGTATTTCTAGGAGGGCTGAAAAGCCTTTTTGCTCTTCTGCTGTCTACTGAACCAATTTATAAGCATGAACTCAGCTAATTTTTCCAACAATCCTGTGAGGTAGGTATTACTATTAGCATCATTATTTCTTAACAAGGAACCAAGGCCAGAAAATGTTAAGAAACTTACCCAAAGTCATGAAGTAGGCAGTGTACTCCAGAGTTGGTACTTAGAACTGTTATGCCATACGGCCTACACAGAATCACTAAAAATATCATTGCAAGAGTAGCTTCATGTTTACTAGCTAATCTCCTTATTTTTGGATCTTTAGGTCATTCCTAACATCTCAATGTAAAATATTAACCTGTTATGTTAGAAATTACATATCTTAAATGTAAAATTGAAATAGATTTTATTTCTGAAAGAGTCATTTGTTGTGCATAATTTGATGCAGTGAAATGAGGAAGTTATTTCAGTTATTTCAGAATTAGGTACTTGAAATAACTTAGAAGTCATGTCTGTGGACTTGGTGATCATGTCCCAGATTAATCTTTAGGGAAGCTTTCCCACAACTGGCTCATTAGAAAAGTGATAAACAAAGCTATACTGACTGATGGAGGTTTGTGGTCCCATGAAATCCCGAGTTTTAGTTTTTTAACTTAGAAAAGTGTGGAGTGAAGAGCACAGGTTAGGAATGATGAGTTGCAGGTGTCGGTCTTTGCTGTGTTAATCTCTCATTTCACATAAGCTTAGGAGTTGGGCCCTTATAGAGGACATACAATAACATATATAACAATAATATAAATAAATATGGAAATTGGATTCATCTCTGGACTCTTTCTAGCTCTAAATTTCTTTGACACTAAGACTCTTGTTTCCTTAGAACAACTTTGTGTGTAATTTGGCAGATGCCTAGTGTCACACCCAGGAACCCATCTGATGGTAGAGCGATATTAATCTTGCCCAACACTGCCTTACAAGTTGTATGTGCTGCTCGTTCTGCTACTAGGGATTTACTGAAACAGGAAAGTGAATTCAGGTGTAAGATGTTTGATTATTAATAATCCTCACAAATGCACCTTTTTCAACCTTAGGGCTTTGGTGAAAAGTCCAGTGAGTTGGGGTGAAGGGAGACTAATGGGCAGATGAGGTAAGCAGTTCTGGTAACTCCTGGAGTTACTTTTCACACTGCTGAGACAAAATACCCAACATCCAAAGTTAAAGGAAGAAAGGTTTATTTAGCTAACAGTTTGTAGAAGTTTTAGTCCACAGCCATCTGACTCCAATCCATTGCAGAGGAGAAACAGTTCATGCAGAAGGTAGCAAAGCAACAAGGGACAATCATAGCCCTTTCTTTCCCTTATATTTTATCCAGGCTACTTAGGCTGAGTAGCACTCATACCCTTAATCCTAGTGCCCTTGATCCTAGCATTCCACTATGAATCCATCCCAGCATCACACACTCAAGATCCAGCCACCTCAGAAAAAGCCCCACCTATGACCACATGAAGCTCCAGGGGGACATCTAGACACAAGCCAGAACACTAAGAATCAGCTGACCATAGATATATGGATATTCTCTCTCTCTCTCTCTCTCTCTCTCTCTCTCTCTCTCTCTCTCTCTCTATATATATATATATATCCATCAGAGAGTGAAAATCTTCCAATTTTGTTCCTTTTCAAGATTATTTTGGCTGTCCTGGGCCTCTTACTTTTCCACATGAGTTTTAGGATTGGCTTTTCCATTTCTGCAAAAAGGCATGTGGAATTTTGGTAGAGATTGTATTGATTTGTAGATTCATTTGAAAGTATTACAACCTTAAACTCATGTCTTCCTTGCCTTGAACGTGTGATATCTTTGTGTTTATTTAGGTGGTCTTTAGTTTTTTTAGCAATAGTTTGTAGTTTTAGGCATACAAATTTTGCACTTCATTGGTTAAATTTATTTCTAAGTATTACTGTTATTATTGTGCCAGGACTTGAACTCAGGGGTGCTGTATCCCTGAGCTACATCTGCAGCCCTTTTTATTTTTTATTTTGAGACAGCATCTCCTTAAGTTGCCCACACTGCCTGGAGTACTTCCTCAGTCTCCTGAATAGCTAGGAGTACAGGCTTGACCCACCAAGCCTAGCTGCATTTTAATATTTTTGATGTTATTGTAAGTGGAATTGCTTTCTAAATTTCATTTTCTATTATTTGGTGCTGTTGTATAGAAATGCAAGTGATATATGTATATTGATCATCCTGCAACCGTATTGAACTTAGTAGGTCTGATTGTGTGTGTGTGTGTGTGTGTGTGTGTGTGTGTGTATTTTGTAATCTTTAGGGTTTTCTATATTTGCAGGTCATGTCATCTGCAAAGATAAATCATTTTCTTGCTTTTAAATGTGGATGTCTTTTATTTAATTTTCTTGCTTAAGTGCTCAGGCTAGAACCTATCATGTAGTTAATGTTTGAAGGGGCAAGAGGGGACAAATGTGTCAGCTTCAGGCTTTCTGTTTATCATCAAGTATGATATATGCATTCATTCTTTCATTTAACAAACACTTAGGGAGAAATTAGTTGCACTGGACATTGTGCCAAACCCTGGGGCTTATAGTCTGCCTCTGGTGGAGGCAGGGCAAGGGAAGGAGTGACTGAGAGGGCAGTGAAAGAAATACATGTAAATGTGTGACTGAGTTGGGTGCATTTAAGTAGCATGGCAGTCAATGTGGGGGAGAAAATAAAGACAGTGAATTGGTAGTGGAAGGAGAAGTCTGGGCAGAGGCCTGAATGAAGGGGAGTTGACCACTCAGGACTCTGGGAGGAGAGCTTTATAAGAGAGGAGCAACAGAGCAAAGCCTCTGAGACGGGAATCAGCTTGTTCTAAGGATGGGGAGAAAAGGACTGAGGCTGGAGTTGAGTGAATGAGAAACATGGTGGGAGTTCAGAGAGGGAGGCTGGGTCTCCCTGGACCTCCTGCTGCCTGCTCATGGTGAACATTGAACCTTCAGCTTTCCTTGTTCCTGTTTTCATAAGATGCATCGAAGAGTGTGTCTCATCTAACAAGTTCTAAACTAGTGTATTTTGAGGAACCACAATCAAGTGTTTGTGGCATTCTTACTTTTCAGATGACTTCTAGAAAATGCATTTAAAATCTTCAAATATAAAGATCTTTTCATCCTATCTTCCATAGATTGCCCCATTTGTTAGTTTTTTGTTGTGCCTCGGAGACTTTTTATACATGTGAGGAAGTTCATTTTATATTCATTTCCTCCTTGCTCAGTAATCTCAACATGAAAAATATTGACTTAGAAATCCTATGGCTTTTTTAATAGAGTTTGTATACTG